ATCGTTCAAATGAAGAACCAGACATCAGAGGTGTTGCCTGATGAAGGTAAACGGATATGGTTGTGTTTTTGTCTTTTATTTTACACCCGTCTGGCCGTAGACTAATACACTGGACACAAATACAACTCGGCTGTACTGAAATGCTTGCCTGAACGTGAACTACATTTGACTGTAGTGTCGATGACGCGTGACGCGAACACAGCGTAACCAAATCAAGTAACTGGTGACATCTGTTTTCTAAGCTCTGTATCAGCGTCCCTTTTTGCATTTGCCCTGAGGTGGACCGTAGAACTGCAGACCTAAGATCAGAGGAGCTAACATTTTAACATATTGTGTAGTTTGTCAACACATGTCAGAAAATGTAGACAGAGGGCAGCAATGCTGCCTGTACTGGTACTGGTGTACTGTATCCTAAATGAATATATTCGACATTTATTCACTGTTGCAGGCGACAAACCGGACGCATCCCTCGACGACGGAGGACAACGACAGCGAGACGCAATAGATGGTCCAGTGCCGTCTGTAACAGAGGAGGAAGAGGACGGAGAAGCGGAGAAAGAAATGTACGAGGAAGGGCAGGAAGTAGAAGAGGACGAGCCGTGCGTGGGGACTCCAGAGGAGGAGGAGGTGAATGTGGAGTGGCCGGCTGGTGTCCCTCAGGCTTCAGACAAGGACCTGGCCAAGCTGTCCAACACAGAAGAGGTGAGAGTCCCACTGTGCTCTGTTGTCACACGCCTGATTATCACTAACTGTAGCTGTTCAACGATTTAGAACAGTGGGGTTTTTTTATATGAGCCCACAAGGGGGCGCCTAAAATGTCTAGTATTTGATAAATAAAACATTTAGATAGATAGGTAGGTAGGTATATGATAGGTAGATAGATAGATAGATAGATGGATAGATAGATAGATAGACATTTATCTCTAGTGTTCCATTCACAAAATGTAAGACTGGACTTTCTTAGCCACAGTTTGGTGTCCATGCAGGGACAATCAACCATTTCTGTGCTGTTTCTTCCAGACCCTTCACCCATGTCCACTGGTGGGGCTGTACATTTAGGAAGCAGACACTGCCAGTTGTGCTCAGGCCAAGATATGTGCTCACTTAAAACACTAGAGCTGGCGGGGCCTGATTTCTTTTTTCCGCAGGGTGGAGACCAAAATGGATTTGCTGCAAATAATCAAAACAAGCTGACGTCCCTCTAACGAGAGAATCAAGTTTGAGGCCGTTATGTAATCCAGCCGGGGGTTTGGCTGGGTGGGTCCTGGGTGGGATGCTTTTCTTGGCACTTTCTCCCACACTCACAATTACATTCTCTGTCTGCCTTTTACAGCCTCAGGACAAAAGACTTCACAATAATAATACAAAAATACCACTTTAATTTCCTGTAACTTTTATTGACCTTACTCTGTTTTGGTTGAGTGGTTTTGATAAAACTGGTACTACAAGAAGATAGTACTGGGTTATTCTGAAGACAACAGTACACTCATTTACATGCTGCTGTGCAGATGCAGCCCGTTTTCACCGTCCGACCCTTATATAATGAATGACCTATTTATTATGTCAGCAGATGATGTTGATGGCTGGAGTGACTCACATTCACCTTAGTCAGCATGTATTCATCCCTCACGAAGCTCCAGCACTCCTGAATGTACGTGATTGTTCTGACTCCAGATGCTGTGTTGATCGTGTCCAAATCTAAATAACATTATAAATGTATTTCGTATTTTGTCATTTCCAGAGCTCCTCTCGCGATGGCCTGGTCTCCATTTTGAAGAGGAGAAGAGCGTTTCTGGACGGACTTCCTCCTCCCAGCAGCTCTGATGCTAAACCAAGCTGCAAACGCAAAGTTCGCTTCAGTGAACCGGAGGACGCCATTGACCAGGGTATTTGCAAAGTCTTGCCGCATTCACAACTGTTTCTTTATATACAAAGCATCCCCTTCAAACACTGACTGAATAAAAACACTATAAATATAATATAAAGTCTATATGAGTATTGACACTATATTCCAACACAAAAAGTTGCAGGAAAGTCAAAATCCCACTGAATGTAATATTGTACTTTATATACAAAGCATCCCCTTCAAACGCTGACTGAATAAAAACATTATAAATATAATATAAAGTCTATATGATTGTTGGCAATATATTCCAACACAAAAAGATGCAGGAAACTCAAAATCCCACTGAATGTAATATTGTTAAAATCATACACCTATTTGGCCACCAGATGTCACCAAAGGAGATTTTTAAACGTTTCAAGGGGAGAGCTGATTTTTCAGAATCAGTTGTTGTCTTTGCTTCACTCAATTTTGAGCCGTGCTATATTTCAGATGAGGTGAGTGGGGATTCCTGCCTGATCCTCCTGCTGCTCTGTCTGGTGACTGTGGTGATCAGCATCGGCGGCACCGCTCTTTACTGCACCCTGGTGGACACATACTCCAACATTTGCACAGACTTCACCCAAAATGTGAACTTCTACGCCGTGAACTTCCGAGCCTTCTTTGAAGGTCTCAGTTACTGGCTGCCTGCCCACACTTAAGACACTGTCCTCAACATTCCTGGAAAGAAAAAAAAAAACAGCAACAAAGGTTTGAGCCAAAGAGGACACGGTGGAGGAGGATGGAAGCATCACAGAGTAAGAGACATGACATTTACTGGCACTGACCGAATTTAAAGTTGATTTTTTTTTTTCAGTCACTTGAACTTGACTTTGAGCAGAGTTGCTCACAGAAAAGGGGCAGTAGTACCTGTAAATATGACTATGCAGTATGGCAAGAGTGCATTTCCAATGAAGAGCGCCGCGTTCTTCTGCTAGAAGAGACAAAAAAAAAAAGATTAATTGTACAATAAGACGCACTTTTGAGCATCTTGGTGACGTATCTGTGCGTGTTGTCCATCGTGTTGAATTGGAACCTTTATTTTGTTTTCATGTCATAAATCCATCTACAAATATGAATTTTAGAAGACCTTGATTTTAGATCTAGATGAACCGTTATCCCTTTGATAAAAAGCTAGTTACAATAGTGAAAGTGGTTACAAATAATAATAAAAAAAATTCCTATAAAGCATCTGAAGACAAATACATTTGCTTATTTATTCAATTGAACCCACAATGTACAGTAAGATAAACACTGAATTAGGCTTAAAGACATTATAACCAATCAGTTTACGTCACAAAAACATTTTGTTTTCCTTGTCAATCCTGATGTCCTTCATTTGAATTTTCTGCAGTGCACAGACTAGATATTAGAATATTTTTTACACAGGTCATAATACAAGTATGTGTACAAAGTAAGGGGGGGTGGGGGTGGAGTAATTGTTAACATTCTCCAGCAGGGGTCTTGACATTTGTAGCTCAAATTCTTTTTAAAACTGCCACAAGACAGACCTCGTACCTTTCTGTCATTCTGACCTCATTTGTAATTTATACCGTGTGACATTTTTCACTCTGAAATATACGTATGTACATATTGGAGAAAAAGAGACATTTTTTTTCATACTGTAATGTGTAAAGCTATTTCTGTGTCTTTTTCCAGACGATTTATCAGGAGGAATATTATATTTTACAATTGCAGTGATTATATTGGATTATGACGGTTGTTTTCTCGAGAATATTTGAGGCATGTTATTTATTATTATTTTTTAAAAGCCTTTGATTATCAGCACGTCAGAATCAGACCCTGAATTTTAAAACACGTCTTTTTAGCTATTGTTTCCATAGATTTAAAAAATATAACATTTATGAATTTGTAAATTTCACATCGACTGAACCAAAGCTTTTTCATCTGTCTCGAACTTGGCTTTGAACATTTTGATATGATGACTGAATTTGCTCGACCTGAGCTCCACTGCTCTGAATCCCAGATGGCTGTGTTGTGAATTTTACCTTTGTACAATATCCTTTCCAATTTAACAACAATTCTAAGGTTTTTAATAATTATGTCCTCTGTTATGCCCGTAAGAAAAATACAAAGTAGTCTTAGATTTGATTGATTTTATCATTGAAACATTTTTTTTACATCATCCCACCTCCCAATTCAAATAATTCCTTGCAAAATAGTTCAATAAAGTGACACTTTATGACTCTATTTCTTGTGAATGACGTGTACATTTCCTGTTAAAGACTGGGGCTCATTCTACTGGTGGAAAAAAAGGTTTGGCACAGACTCTTCCTCCCTGTGGTCACAGTCCAAGAGGGGACGATAGGTGAGCCGTTGCTGCCTGACAAAAACACTTCAGTTGAATAATCGCCCTTCTATTGGGATAAAGATCTTGGCCCTCAATACTCAGGTGATATTTTGTGTAAATTAAGTGAATTGTTTTTTATACTATTAATTAATATTTATATTATTATGCTTCTGCTTTTCCCCTGCAGTACCAACGTTTTCCCAATAGATGGCGTAAATATTTATAAAAGCATTTTAGCCTTTATGCATGACTTTTACATGTCATTTATCTTGGTTCACACGAACTCTCCATTTAACTCTTCGTCTCTCTAGACTGAAGATATTCTTAGACGGTCCCTAGGTCTACCTGTAACCAGGTCAGTCGTTGCAGCAGCTGTCACTGGTTTTGATCACGGCCACAGACTTAATGAAAACACCTCATTATGTTGTTTGGGTCGCCATCTACCAACACATTTTACGTAATATCCCTTTTTAATAAATAATTGTGTGTTAACATTCTATTGTCCAAAAAAAGTCAATCATACTTTGACTACGCTTTGTAGTAAAATATAGTTTTATAATATATAAGTATCTAAATATAAGTCACTAAAGACGTTGATACATGTGAAAAAGTTGCATGAATTTATATCGTTATTTTATTTTTTAAATTAGCTGTTCTTCTATCGGTTGTCTGCACGATTCGCCCTCCTGTGGCTTAAACGTGCAACTTCGCTCATGAACAAGTTGACGCCAAAACGTCGATGAGTGAATTTGCACGTTTGAGCCACAAGAGGGCGAAAACCTATTTGTATAGTGTAAGTGTAGTGTGAACAAGTCAAGTGAGACGCAGTAGTCCAATGGAGGGGGAGAGGAAAAGGAAAACATTTGAAAAAAAAAAAAAGGCAAATTAGATCTTGAATTCTCATTTATTGTGATGTGTAATGTATCAGGAATCCATATACTAGTTTAATTTGTGTTGTTTAGGTCACTGGGTTCATTTCATGCAAATTAAAAATACAGAGAGTTTGCACCTGAAACCTTTCACGTTAATTACATTTACGTCATTCCCTCTAATTTGCGGATGCGTAGCCAGAGCCTATAAATAATACCGGAAGACTGCTCTGTGCCTTTTCCGCCATACATTTGATTTTCGTCGTGTGTGTGTCACGCACATACGGCAACCAAATGTTTGTTACGAGGGCTAAGCTAACTTGACACGAACAAACGTTTTACGTTTAAACGACTTAATTAAGCAGTTTTATTAGGTCTGCTTCATTAGGTCGTTTTAGAATGGGAACTTTTTTGGTTGTGTCGTCAATTATGTATTTCATTTCCGCAAATCTACACTGCGGGAATTTACGTAATTTTCTCTCGCAAACTATGGCATAGCAAGAGACGGCATTTAAATTAAACCGGAAATATTGCTCTCGTTTATCAAACATTTAGTCGCCCTCGAGTGTGTATGTTTGTGTTCATATGTGGTACAGTGATGTTTTCTTCTAATCTGCAGGTTCTTCCAAGCTGTGGACGTGTGAGGTGTTTGGCTTTCCACCGTGACGGCATGCAGAGACCAACACAAGCTTTGATTGTGTTATTCCAGCTCATTGTTGGCATTCATTGTGCCTTGTATGCTATTGCCATTGTCTTAACAAATAGTGCAACGGAGAAGAAGACTTGGACTCTGCCAGGTAGAGTGAAGGAGAAACTTTATTTGTAGCAGATGTTGTTTGCTGGGCTTGTGTTTTACTGAGTTGTGTAATTCCAGCTCATTTCATTCATTGTGCCTTTGTGTGCTATTGTAAGATAGCATACCTTAATGCAGTGACTGCATTAAGGCACAATGAATGGAATAAGTGCAAAGGCTAAAATAACGAACAAAAAGTGACTGCATTAACGCACAATGAATGGAATAAGTGCAAAGGCTAAAATAATGAACAAAAAGTGACTGCATTAACGCACAATGAATGGAATAAGTGCAAAGGCTAAAATAATGAACAAAAAGTGACTGCATTAACGCACAATGAATGGAATAAGTGCAAAGGCTAAAATAATGAACAAAAAGTGACTGCATTAACGCACAATGAATGGAATAAGTGCAAAGGCTAAAATAATGAACAAAAAGTGACTGCATTAACGCACAATGAATGGAATAAGTGCAAATGCTTAAAATAAAAACTATTGCCAAAAAGTGATCTTAATGCTATCTCACGTGTCCTATCTCACAATAGCATTAAGATCAATTTTTGGCAATAGTTTTTTTTAAGAATTTACTTTAAAAAAAACTATTGCCAAAAATTGATCTTAATGCTATTGTGAGATAGCATTAAGATCACTTTTTGGCAATAGTTTTTATTTTAAGCATTTGCACTTATTCCATTCATTGTGCGTTAATGCAGTCACTTTTTGTTCATTATTTTAGCCTTTGCACTTATTCCATTCATTGTGCTTTTATTGTGAACTGTATGTGACTGAAAAGACAATGTTGCAGAATAAAGAAAAGAAAAAAATTATTTGGACCATTGTGTGGCTTTATTTCAAGATATGAGGTTTCTCATTGCCTTTTAGGGCATGCATTGTCAAGGGTATAGGTAAAAAGTAGTTTCTAAGTTTAAGTTTCTAAGTGTGTTTCTATTTTTAAGTTTCTATTTCTAAGTTTTTATTAGTTTCTAAGTTTCTATTTCTAAGTTAGTTTTTACATAACATCTAAAATAACTAAGTAGTAAAAAGCTAAAAATCCTACCAGAATACTTACCACATAATACCACAACAGAAATAACGTTAGCCTTTTATTACCAAAACATTTACAAATACATGTTACATTACGTGCTCACAGGATTCAACCATGGCCCCATCATCAGGAGTGCAGCAACTTGGTTAAACCTCTTTCTTCTGCTTCCTTTTCCACTTAGATGGCAGCGTTCCTGCAACCTCCTCACAGGCTATTCTTTGGTCATGGGCTCCGACTTCCTGTGACCTAAAGGAAGTCAAGACAATACCATGTTAAAACTCATTAACAAAAGCATTGAAGTGCACATAAAAATGCTAGTTTTAACAAAATGGTAAAGTTTAGCTTGATAATTTACTGAAACTGCAATCAAATATTCTTGGGGAAAACAACTAAATCGCACTCACAATAAAACAGAATCCAGATGCTTCGGACTTCTTGGCGTCATGGAGTCCACCGGTCTGCTGCATGTGTCATCGTTACTATGCACTACAAAATGCAAGATCCACTCTGAAAGAAACGTTCCCCACAGAACAAGCCGCTTCTTCACTAACACACGTGGCTAAAGTCTCAACAGCCAAAATGTTTGGATCACTCCAACGAAACGGTTTTCTTGCACATATTTAGAAGCCAAATAAAGTGCTATATCGTAACACAGTGAAAGATTAGTTCACAGAAAGTGTCAAATGTGTTGCCAAAAAGTGACCATAGCAATAAGGCACAATGAATGGAAAGAGCTGGAATAACACTATCCAGAAGCAATTACACAACTAAAAAATACTCAAGTCCAGACACGTGATCTGCTACAAATAAAGTTTCTCCTTCACTCTACCTGGCAGAGTCCAAGCTGCTGTGTTCACAACTCTTCTCCACTGCACTATTTGTTAAGACAATGACAATAGCATACAAGGCACAATGACTGACAACAATGAGCTGGAATAAAAAAAACTTGTGTTGGTCTCTGCATGCCGTCACGGTGGAAGGCCAAACACCTCACACGTCCACAGCTTGGAAGAACCTGCAGATTAGCAGAACACATCACTGTGTCACATATTAACACAAACATACACACTCGAGGGCGACTAAATGTTTGATAAACGAGAGCAATATTTCCGGTTTAATTTAAATGCCGCCTCTTGCTATGCACGCGCAAACTATCAAGAGAAAATGACGTAAATAAAATACATAATTGTCGACACAACCAAAAAAGTAACAATGTTGTGTTATCAGTCCAGTACATTTAACCCGAACGAAAAGCAGACTGAACAAACAATTACGTGCACTAACAGAAATCATCTTCAAAGTCTAATTCTTACCATTAAAAAACGACCTAGTGGAGCAGACCTAATAAAACTGCTTCATTAAGTCGTTTAAACGTAAAACGTTTGTTCGTGTCAAGTTAGCTTAGCCCTCGTAACAAGCGCGCGCGTACACACACACGACGACAACCAAATGTTTGTTTGAAAAGGAAGAGCGCAGGTTTCCGGTATTATTTATAGGCTCTTGCTACGCATGCGTAACCTAGAGGAAATGACGTAAATGTAATTATTAACGTGAAAGGTTTCAGGAGAAAACTATACATTTTTAATTTGCATGAAATGAACCCCGTGACCTAAACAACACACATTAAACTAGTATATGGATTCATGATACATTACACATCACAATAAATGAGAATTCAAGCTCTAATTTGCCTTTTCCCCCCTCTTTTTTCCTTTTCCCCTCCTACCCCTCGTAACAGGTTATTGTGCCACTATATAAAAAAAGTTGAAATTATCTTCATATCGCTGTGGTTTTGGCAGAACATATATTTGTCATGAAAGATTGATGTTGTACAGCCGAAATACTATACCTCAATGCAAAGCCCAAACCACTAACACTCCGGATCCACACCCGGAAGTAAGGACCATACAACGTATTCCTATTTCCGTTGTACAAACCAACCAGATCCAATATCAGCGCGCCCCCTACAGTTGACCGCTGACATCCACATTCTTTTTTTTTTTTTTAGTTGGTTTAGTCTCGTAGAACTTTTTCTTTGATAGAACGAGCGAACAGAAAAGCGTATTGGTGAAAATATACAAAAATAAATAATTTAAACACAAAATAAAAAATAATTTCAAATAGTTAATAGTTATTTCCGCTATATACGTATATATGTCTACACACCTATGCTAAAAAACAGGAAGTGACATTTTAAGGTTGACTGGACAGGGGAAAAAAAGCACAGAGAGGTCTTCGGACACCCCCCCAAAATGCAAACAGCGCCCTATCTGGCCACATTAGCGTAACAGTTTTGTTCAGGACGACGACATTGTTTTACTGAAGTCATAACAAAATAAAAACAAAAGAATGTGTTAATTTAGCAGTTACACATACTAACATCCATAACATCATTTTAAACAAAAATAAACCGTCGAGGCCACAAAGGACTGTGAAAAGTATAATATATATTTAGCGTACTAACCATTTTTAATCTTTTAGTTTAATATTTACAAACCTGACAAACTACACATTCTGCAAAATGTATTAAGAAATATAAGCATAGTAAAAGTCACAGATGATGCGTCCAAATATTTCAAATTTTATTTTTAGTAGGGGCTAATAATCGGATTATCCCTTACAAGAACAACACCTCTTTTCACAATTTTATGAATAATGTTGTTGCTGGGAAACCTTTACCTTTACCTTTCCTTTTATTGATTAATTAATTAATTTATTTACATAAAGGCTGTTAATATTACCCAGAATGAAGCAAGTCACATGCTTACGGATAATACATTTTACCAGCAGGTGCCACTGTTGGCCTTGTTTCTAACTGATGACAAATATTTCCAGGCCCAGCCCCACATGACAGCAGTAGAGGTCATTTCATGCCTTTGAGGACACACAGAACAGTATGAAGCCCTTGGTTGTTTGTTTTTTTTTTAAATAAAAAATCTGTGGCTGCACCATTTAAAAAAACAAAAACAACCAAGGACACAATAAAGAGAAGGTTACTTCGAGGTGGCTGACGTCTCAGGTTGGACGAGAGGACGTGAAGATTAACGTGATTTGGCATCTTTGTCACTCCTGCTCCCAACCTTCTCCTTTCTGAGTCATTGAGTTCTCCGTCCTATCTGTCTACTGTGCCCCCCCCACCCCCAGCCCCCACCTCACAGATATACTCAGCTCTCACAACAGCACGTAGTCCTGCGTGATGTACTCAGCGAATATGTAGAGCTATTTAACAAATAAACTGCACAACTGTGTACATGGAGCACGCTGCTTCATCGCAGTAGGATAATTGGGCGGGGTGCTGATATTCTGCTGGGTGCACGTTCAAAAATGAGAGAAAGAGACTCGGGGGGAGAAGATAGCGAGAGAGAGAGGGCGAGACAGCAGTGCTGTTCCCATTGCGTAACACAGGACGGCCCCACCCCTATTGCCTGGCCATGCACGTCTCCAATCCGCCATTGTGGCTTTGCTGATATACATGCCAGGTCCTTATTCTCTTATGTTTCAATAAGAAAACCAACATGTAACATATATGTAACATATATCACAGATAATATGAATATACGTTTTAAAAAATCTACCTCTGTGGCTAATAGTTTTGAATATACGTTTTAAAAAATCTACCTCAGTGGCTAATAGTTTAGGTTTAGTTTAGGATTTTTTTTTTTTTGGTGGACTTCCTCTGTGTTATTCTCACTGTGAATATTTATAAATCAGTGCCAATTTTTCTGTCACCCTGGAATTTGGAGAA